TTTGCATCATGGGGGTGCCAGAAGGAGAAGAGAGCGAAAAAGAAATTAAAAACCTATTTGAAAAAATAATGACAGAAAGCTTCCCTAACTTGGTGAAGGAAACCAACATACAAGTTCAGGAAGCACATAGAGTCCCAAACAAGATGAGCCCAAGAGGTCCACACCAAAACATATCATCATCAAAATGCCAGAGGTTAAAGAGAAAGAGAGAATCTTAAAAGCAGCAAGAGAAAAGCAGTTCATTACCTACAAAGGAGCTCTCATAAGACTGTGAGCTGATTTCTCAAAAGAAATTGCAGGCCAGAAAGATGTGGCAAGAGATATTCAAGGTGATGAAAAGTAATTACCTACAACCAAGATTACTCTATCCTGCAAAGCCATCATTTAGAATCAATGTACATATGAAGAATTTCCCAGACAAGAAAAAGCTAAAGGAGTTCATCACCACCAAACCAGCATTGTATGAAATGTTGAAGGGTCTTTTTGAAGAAGAACTTAAAAAACATGAACAAATAAAATGGCAATAAATATATATCTATCAACAATTGAATCTACAAACAAAATGAACAAGCAGAACAAAAACATTCTCATAGATACAGATAACATTTTGTTGGTTGCCAGATTTGAGGGGGGTTAGGACAATGAGTAAAAAAGGTGAAGGGATGAAGAAGGACAAATTGGTTGTTAGACTGATGAACCTCAAAGAGAAGGGGGGAGGGAGGGCGGGATGAGATAAACCAAAGAACTTGTATGTATATATGCATAACCAATGGATATTGATAATAGTGTGGGGAAGGCAGGAGGAGGGCAGGATTGAGGAGGCAGGGGTCAATGGGGGAATAAAGGGGGGCATCTGTAATATAATCAACAATAAAGATAAGTTAAAAAAACACACACACACTTCTTAATCCATAGGTGAAAGAGTAAGTCTCAGGGGGAAATTTTAAAAATACTTTAGGGTAAATTAAAAGAAAATATACCAAAATTTGCAGGACACAGCTAAAGCAGTGCTGAGAGGAAAATTTATAGCACTAAAAGGCATACAGTGAAAGAAAGAAAGGGTCTCTAATAGTCTATGCTCCCACCTCAAGAAACTAGAAAAACAAGAATAAATTAGATCCAAAATAAGCAGAAGGAAGGAAATCATGAAGAAAATTGAATGAAATTGAAAATAGGAAAGTTTATATACTCATGATTCCTATGTAAAATTCCTGAAGTGACAAAATTATAGAAATGGAGAACAGGAGTTAAGGATGAGGATGGAGGTAGGAGGGTGGAGGTTGGAAGTAGAGATGAGAGGTGAGAGGCAAGTAGGGGTTGGCTATAACAGGTCAATAGAGTTATCCTTGAGGTGATGGTATTAGTTTGTGTTTTGGCAGTATCAACATAAATATCCTAATTGTGATATTGTACTATAGTTTTCCAAGATGTTACTATTGGGGAAAACTGGGTAAAGAATACACCAGACCACTCTGTTTTGTTTCTGACAACTGCCTATCAATCCACAATTATCACAAATAAAAAGTATAAATTTAAAGAACTCCGAACTAGATGATAATATATAACATTTATTGCTATGTGCTAGTTACTGTTCTAAACACATTATATGTATTATTTCTTTTGATTCTCACAACACCCCCTCTTTTGAGGGTGGATATTACTATGGTTCTTATTTTAAGGAAACAAATGTATAATGAGGTTAAGTGAATTGCCCAAGGTCACCTAGCTAGTAAAATCCCAAATTGGGATTCAGGCTCATGGTGATTTGCCTCCAGAATTTATGCTCTAGATAATCTTAAAGTGCAAACTAATATTAATAAAAGTGAAGAGTTTAGTGTCAAAAGAATATAAAATAAAGGAATAATCTTTAGTTGAATTGGAGTTGTCTGGGAAGGAAACAACCATTTATTGAGCCTTTCTTTCATTCACTGAACATTTAACTCGTTTTCTATGAGAATGGCAGATAGGACAATTCTGACTGATTGACAATGGCTGCCTAGAAAACTGTGTTAACACAGATTCAGATACCACAGAACAGCTGGGCAAGAACGAGTTCTATGGTTAATTATAGATACCTGCCATTTTCAAGGTGAAAGGAAAGGATGGCATGATGAATGAGTGACGTGTATTTGCATCTGTCACTGTTTTCAGATTTGAGCTAAGTGTTTTACATGTGTTGTGTAATGTAATCCATACAAAACACCATGTGCTGAGTATTACTCACAGTTTATAGACTAGGAAACTGAAGCTCAGAGAGTTTAATTTGCCCAAACTCACAGAGCCAATGAGTGGCAGAGCCAGGATTAAAGCCAAGTTCTCCATCCCCAGGAATCTTGCTCTTTTCATCACACCTCCTAAAAGAGGGGAGTTTTATTAAGCTCTTGAAAGGGGTGATGGACATAGATTGGCAGAGATGAGGACAAAAAGAGTTCACCCATAAGCACAGCAATAGAAATCAGCCAGTCACACAAAAGACAGGAAGCAGCCCTGGCCGGTTTGGTTCAGCGGTTAGAGCATTGGTCTGTGGTCCTGAGAGACCTGGGTTCGGTTCCCGCTAAGGGGCACGTACCTCAGTTGCAGTTTGTCCCTGGCCCTGGTTGGGTAGTGGGCGTGGCAGCCACTCGATGTGTCCCTTTCACATTGATGTTTCTCTCTCTCTTCCTCTCTTTCCTTCCCACTCTATCTCAACAACAACAACAACAACAACAACAACAACAAAGGGAAAATGTCCCCAGGTGAGAATAAAAAAAAAAAAAAAAGACAGGAAGCAGATTGGCCTGACCAGAGTGGAGGAGAATATTAAATTGTAATGACAGGAGATTAAAGAAGAGACAGGCACATAGCCGATGGGAAGCTTTGAAATAAAAAGCTCTCAAAGCTAAAAGATTTATTCTTCCTAGTTTGTTTTCTGAGAGCTTCTGGTCCAGTGGAAGAGGAAGTGGTGACAACAGTGGTCTTTAAGACTTTTGTTTTCTTTCCCCATCATCTGCACTGGGCTGTGCCCATTGTCTTAGCCTCCCCGCTTTATCCATCAATTTCCCAATTGTGTTTTTTTATTATAAAAGATGGGCATATGTACTCAAATAATAAAGGACAAATTATAAAGTATAGCCACCAACTTTTAATCCCATTCCCCAAAGTAAATTCTGTTAATGGTTTAATGTCTAACCTTTAGATCCTTTGTATATTTAGAAATATATATATAATTTATTTTATTATATATTACATAACATTTAAAATATATATCTATATTATACATGCATATGTGCATGTAAAATACTATGTTTTATACATATATAGAGTAAATGTATAATCCTGAAGACATAAATTCAGTTTAATCATTCTTAGTAAAGATAAGAACCAAAGGCCAAGTGTGAGCTGGAACTCAGGTTTTTTTAATTGTCTTTTCCTTTGTAAAAAGCTGCATTCCTCACAGGAATGTTAATATCTCCTGGAAAGGGTTCTCAGAGCTTCTATTGAAAAGGCTCTTTAATTTTTTTAAATTTTTCTTTATTGATTTTAGAGAGAGAGGAAGGGAGAGGGAGAGATAGAAACATCGTTAAGAGAGAACATCAATTGGCCGCCTCCTGCATGCCCCCACTGGGGATCTGGCCCACAACCTGGGTATGTGCCCTGACTGGGAATCAAACCAGTGACCTCTTGGTGCATGGGTCGTCGCTCAACCACTGAGCCTCACTGGCGGGGCTGAAAGGGCTCTTTAAAAAGGCAAAGGCTTGTCCTGGCCAGTTTGGCTCAGCAGTTAGAGCATCAGCATGTAGACCAGAGTTGCGGGTTCAATTACAGTCAAGGGCACATATCTCGGTTGTGGTTATGCCTGGCCCTCACATGGGGTCGTGCAGAAGGCAGCCAATCCACGTGTTCGCTCTTACTCTCCCTCTCACTCTCACTATCTAAAAGTCAGTGGGAAAATGTCCTCAGGTGAGGATTTACCTTTTTTTTTTTTTTTTATCCTCACCCGAGGATATTTTTCCATTTTTTGTACGGATAGAGAGGGAGGGAGAGAGAGAGAGAAACATCGACATGAAAGGGACACATCGAGTGGCTGCCACCCGCAGGGCCAACCAGGGCCGGGGACAAACTGCAACCGAAGTACGTGCCCTTAGCGGGAACCGAACCTGGGTCTCTCCGGACCGCAGGCCGAAGCTCTAACCGCTGAGCCAAACCGGCCAGGGCCTCAGGTGAGGATTTAAAAACAGGTAAACAAAGACTTGCCCGGCTGGTGTGGCTCAGTGGATGGAGCAGTGTCCTAGGGACTGAGAGGCCCCTGCTGGATTCACGGTCAGGGCTATTCCTGGGTTTCAGGCTCAATCCCCAGCAGGGGGCGTGCAGGAGGCAGCTGATGGATGTTTCTCTCTCTCCCTCTCTAAAATGAATAAAAAACATATTTAAAAAAATAAATAAATAAAAAGGCAAAGGTTTGTTGGGATCACTCTGTGACTGTTAACCTTAAGTGAACAAGATCCGTAGATTCTAGAGCAAGAAATAAGCTTAAGTGCTTAAGAAAGAAATAAGTGTAGTCACCCTGGCGTGTTTGGCTCAGCGGTTAGAGTGTCGGCCTGCGGACCAGAGAGTCCTGTGTTCAGTTCCCGCTAAGGGCATGTACCTTGGTTGCAGTTTGTCCCCGACCCCTGCGGGAGGCAGCCACTTGTGTCCCTTTCACATGGATGTTTCTCTCTCTCTCCCTCCCTCCCACTCTGTCTGAACAAAAAAGGGAGAAATGTCCTCTGGTGAGGATAAAAAAAAAAAAGAAAGAAAGAAACAAGTGTAGTCTGGCGCCTGTAGGGAGATTCCAAATGAACACCAAGGACCTCCTGTGTCTTATTAATTTCATTTGATTAGGGAAAGAGAAAACAGAAGACTTATCAAAGAGGCCTAACCTAACCTCCTTCTTGGAAACCCCCCTAGAGAGAACATTGCCTAGAGAGAACATTTGATGACATTCTACCTCTGTTTTTCTTTTTAATCTGAACCTCCTGCAGCTGTCAATGGGCATGTTAGGTTTTGGCTTCTTGGCAACTTACCTTCCGGAGGCCGCAATCAGCGCTTACCTGACTGCCGCGGCACTACACATTATACTGTCCCAGCTGACTTGCATCCTCGGGATTATGATCAGTTTCCACGCTGGTCCTATCGCCTTCTTCTATGTGAGTAATTTCTACCCTCACCCAAATTACAAATGCCCCTCCCCTTGTCCTCCCACAGAAGTGGACCCAAGTGGAGAGACTCCTACATAGGCAGCTGAGTCAAGAGGGTCCTGGAAATAATTTTCTCTGTCCTAGATTTATAGTCTTGTTTAACTGCAGATGCGAGTTGGACCATTTCTCAGTTGCATTAACCATGTTGCCCAGCTTTTTAAACTCACATGATTTACAAAAAGAAAAAGAAAAAAATTAATCTTTAAGGTACTATATCTATCCATTACATGCCTCATAACAAAAATGTATCCTAAGACATCTAAAGAATATAATTACTAAGTAATCCCTGAATGCAAAATGGCACAGGAACCAAGCTAAAATATGCATACGGTCTCAGAAAATTAAAAATAGGCTAACAGCCCTGGCAGATTTTGCTCAGCAGTTGGAGCGTCGACCTGCGAGACCAGAGAGTCCCGGGTTCGGTTCCTGCTAGGGGCACATACCAAAAAAAAAAAAAAAGAATAGGCTAACAAACAGAACTCCTGGGTCCTTTGAATTATACTGAAATATATAAAGTGTATTATTTCTTTATCTGATATTCCTATCTTTTAATATCAGTATTTCAACCTAAAAAAAATACGTATCTATCCACTTGGTCAAGACTTTTGTGCCCAGCAACATTGCTTGGGGACTTCTTTCTGAACTAATCTAGAAAGTGTTATTTTCTAGATTTAGGTGTTTATATATCCCTTTCTAAGCCTCTGTAATTTTGTTTTCTTTCAGAACATAGTTAACTACTGTATGTCTCTCCCAAAAGCTAATTCCACCAGCATCCTGTTATTTCTAACTGCTGTTGTCGCTCTGAGAATCAACAAATGTATCCGAATCTCCTTCAATCGGTACCCCCTGGAGTTTCCCATGGAGATTTTTCTGGTAGGTGTTCTGATGTCTCAAATTTACAATTCAGATCATTTAAAACACCCATATATATATTTTAAATGTTTTTACTGATTTTTTGAGAGAGAGAGAAAGGGAGGGAGAGAGAACTACCCATCAGCTGCCTCCTGAACGTCCTCTACTGGGGATCGAGTCTGCAACCCGGACATGCGGGCATGTGTCCTGACAGGGAATCGAACCCAGACCTCTCAGTCCATGAGATGACGCTCAATCCACTAAACCACACTGGCCGGACCTATCTTTTACTTTTATTTTTTTTTTTTCTTTATTGATTTTTCTTTTTAGAGAGAGAGGAGGGAAGAGGGAGAGATAGAAACATTGATGAGAGAGAACATCGATTGGCCATCTCCAGCATGCCCCCTGCTGGGGATTGGGCCCACCACCTGGGCATGTGCCCTGACTGGGAATCGAACAGGACACCTCTTGGTGCATGGGTCGATGCTCAACCACTGAGACACAGAGGCCGAGCAAGGACCTATCTTTTAAATAAATTAATAGCAACTAGGAAGGAAAAGACTGTAAAAATAATGATTTAAAAAATTATATGTTGAATTGTGACAAAGCTGAATACATTTAGCTTTAAATGCTAGCTTATATTTGTAAAACATACTTATTTTCAAAGAACTTTTCTATTACCTCTTTTCCATACTATTTTAAAAATAATTATAGGTGATGTATTATAGAATTGTACCCTTGAAATTTGTGCAATTTTATTAACCAATGTCACCCTAATAAATTCAATTAATAAATAAGGTTTTTCCTCCTTATGAAAGTAATACAGGCTCATCCTAACAATTTTGCAAAACATGAAGAAGAGGGAAAAAAAAGAATAGAAGATATTTTTATAGTTACACCACCCAAAGTCAACTACAATGGATACTTTTAAATTTTTTTAAAATTTTTATTTATTTATTTTTATTTATTGTTGAATGTATTACAGATGTTCCTTATTTTTCCCCCATTGAACCCTCCTCTCCACTCCTGCCCCTCTCCTGCCTTTCCCCACACTGTTGTCTGTGTCCATTGGTTATGCATACATACATATAAGTTCTTTGGTTTATTTCTTCCCACCCCCCACCACCTTCCCTTTGAGGCTTGTCAGTCTAACAACCAATTTGTTCTTCTTCATCCCTTCACCTTTTGTACCCATTTCCCCAACCCTCCTCCCATCTGGCAACCAACAAAATGTTCTCTGTATCTATGAGAATGTTTCTGTTCTGCTTGTTCATTTTGTTTGTAGATTCAATTGTCGATAGATATATATTTATTGCCATTTTGTTTGTTCATATTTTTTATTTTCTTTTTCTTTAAGAACACCCTTCAACATTTCATATAATAATGGTTTGGTGGTGATGAACTCCTTTAGCTTTTTCTTGTCTGGGAAACTCTTTATATGGCCACCGATTCTAACTGACAGCTTTGCAGGATAGAGTAATCTTGGTTGTAGGTTCTTGCTTTTCATCACTCTGAATATTTCTTGCCACTCCCTTCTGGCCTGCAAAGTTTCTTTTGAAAAATCAATTGACAGTCTTATGGGAACTCTCTTGTAGGTAACTAACTGCTTTTCTCTTGCTGCTTCTCTCTTTGTCTTGAAACTTTTGCATTTTGATGATGATGTGTCTTGGTGTGGGTTTCTTGAGGTTCATCTTGTTTGGGACTCTGTGCTTCTTGGACTTGTATGTCTGTTTCCTTCACCAAGTTAGGAAATTTTTCTGCCATTATTGTTTCAAATAGGTTTTCGATTTCTTATTCTCTCTCTTCTCCTTCTGACACCCCCAAAATTTGAATGTTGGCACACTTGAAATTGTCCCAGAGGCTCCTTACACTATCCTCATTTTTTAGGATTCTTTTTTCTTTTTTGCAGTTCTGATTGGATGTTTTTTGCTTCCTTATATGCCAAATCAATGGTTTCTTCTTGGCTTTACCTACTCTACTATTGAATCTGTGTAAATTCTTCTTCTTCTTCTTTTTTTTTTTTTATCCTCACCCGAGGACATTTTTCCATTTTTTGTTCAGATAGAGTAGGAGGGAGAGAGAGAGAGAGAGAACCATTGACGTGAAAGGTACACATCGAGTGGCTGCCACCTGCACAACCCAACCAGGGCTGAGGACAAACTGCAAACGAGATATATGCCCTTAGCAGGAACTGAACCCAGGTCTCTCTGGATGGCAGGCTGACGCTCTAATTGCTGAGGCAAACTGGCTAGGGCTGTGTAAATTATTCTTTTTTTTTTTTTTAATCCTCACCTGAGGACACTTTTCCATTTTTTGCACAGACAGAGTGGGAGGGAGAGAGAGGAAGGAAGAGAGACAGAGAAACATCGACGTGAAGGGACACATCAAGTGGCTGCCACCCGCACGACCAACCAGGGCCGGGGACAAACTGCAACCGAAGTATGTGCCCTTAGCAGGAACCGAACCCGGGTCTCTCGGGACCGCAGGCCGACGCTCTAACCGCTGAGCCAAACTGGCCAGGGCTGTAAATTATTCTTTATTTCAGTTACTGCCTCCTTCATTTCTGACTGGTCCTTTTTTATGTTCTTGAGGCCCTCACTGAGTTCATTTAAGTTCTCACTAAGTTCATTGGGCATCCTTATAAGCAGTGTTTTGAACTCAGCTTCTGTTAGATTGCTTATCTCCATTTCGCTTAGTTCTTTTCCTGGGGTTTTGTTCTGTTCTTTCATTTGGGACCTGTTTCTTTGTCTCCTCATTTTGGCTGCCTCCCTGTGTTTGTTTCTATGTGTTACTTAATGAGAGGTACATAGCTGAGACCAGATGCTGCTTGTTTGAAAGAATTTAGGAAAAACCTGAAGTGGGATCCAAGACAGGCCAATCCTATGGTGAAGCAACTGGCAACAGTTTGGGTGGGCCTGAAAGTTGGATGGGGCGGGGCCTCAGGGAGTCACCAGGGCGGGGCTACCAGTGTGAGCCAGGTTGCTGGAGTCCCAGATATGGGGCCTGTCTGCCGCCCCAGGGAAGGGCTCACCAAAGGAACAAAGGCCTCTGACAGCACGTTTGTCCCAGAGAAAGCCCCCTCTCCAGCCCTCACTCCAGTGCCAAACAGCTCAGTTCTTCCCTGTATGTCTCTGGCGCCCCTCGAGCTGCCTCCCCTCCAAGCTTAGAGGGAGCGAGTCCAATAAGTCTGTGCGCGGGCCCTTTAAGAGGAGCTGCCTGGGGCTCCAGCTGCCTCAGCCTCCCTGAGCCTCAGTTCCCGCTGGTTTTTCCAGCCAGAAGTGATGGGGATTCTCTTCCTGGCACTGGGACCCTGAGCTGGGCGCCTGGTGTGGGATGGGGACCCCTCAGTCCTCAGGGAGGACCTTCCCAGCCGAGGTGTCTTCCTGATTTTTATCCGCCACACGTGGGTGTGGGACCAGCCCCTCTGCCCTCCTACCAGTCTCCATGTGGCTGCTGCTTTAATTCCGTAGTTGTAGGACTTCCATTCAGCTCGATGTCAGGTTGTTCTGAATGATGGTTGTTCTGTAGTTTTGATGTGGTTGTGGAGGACACAATACCACGGTTACCTACCTGCCATCTTGACTGGAAGTCCCAATACTTTGAGATTTTTAGTTATTCACTACTTTCTTCTTTCAAGCACATATATGACAGGCTTATACTCAGTGTTGGTGAGTTTCTGCCTTCTTCTATGTAGAAGTTTTGTTTCTATTTTAGTATCATTACAGTTAGACTGTTAGTCAGCCTCTGTTCATCCTCACTGTGCTGCAGGAAGGGCTGAGGGATGTGAGATCCGAAACGCATGACCTGATCCCTGTCACTAGGAAATGGCGGAGCTGGGCCTTGTTTCTTCTAAAAATCCACTGATAAAATATATCTTCTGCAGTTATCACTAACATTTTTATAATGATAAAGACATTTTCATAAATAAATCTTAGGTTTTTTTTAAGCCAGCATTTCTCACATTAGAATTGCTGAATCCTTGGATATCTTTGGGAATTGTTTCCCCCTTAAGTGTTCTGTTGCAGAGATACTTAAAGTTCACCAAATATCCACATGCTTGCCTATATTTCCCAGCCACCCCTGTAGTTAGGCAAGACCATGTGACTTTGGAGCCAAACCGTGGGAGCCTAGGTGTGACTCCCCCTGTTCTTTCCTCCCCTGCTGCGATCATCATTTCCTGCTGAAATGACAGAGTCCACAGGGAAGCAGCTGGGATCCCTGAGGCACCCTTTGCAAAGCAGCTGCCCTGGAGGGACGCTGACCCACAACGGACTTTATGCAGGCAAAAAATAGCTTTGATGTGCTAAGATCTCATGGTTTGTATGTTGCCACAGCATACCTATCCTATCCTAACTAACCCAGGTCTATATAATTCATGATTGAAAGAGCATAGGAACTGCTTTGGAAATTGAGACCACGCTCTGTCTCATCACTGCTGGCTACCTCTTGTTGGGGTTCACATTCCTTCTTTCTCAGAGGCGTTGAAAAGCTATTAATAAAGGACAGGAGCTGAAAGGCTACTTTTACAAAAGACTTTCCAAAACTCTATACACAAATAGTGGTGCCCTGGACCCAGGAATCGCTGTGCCTACGGAGTTGGCCCCAGAGTGGAGTCAGGGCCAACCTCTCCTTTTCATGGAACCCGCCTCGTTCTGGCACCTTAGGAAACTGAGGCTGTGAGCCACCAGCAGATGGCGTCTGTGACACAGACATCCTCAGCTCTTTCATTTTTAGCTTTATAAAGGTATAACTGACATAAAATGATAAGATATTTAAAGTGTGCATCATGGTGATTTGACGTGTATGTACATTGTGGGAGGATTCCTCATCTAGTTAATCAACGCGTCCATCCATCACATGTTTATCCTTTTTAGGGGTAGGAAGGTGAGAACATTTACGTTCTGCTCTCTTATCAAATTTCAATTATAGAATTATCGACTATAGTCACCACGTTATAAATGAGTTCCTCGGAGCGTAGTCATCTCATAGCTGAAAGTGTGTACCCTTTTATCAACTTTTTCCTATTTCCCCCACCGCACAGCCCCTGGCAACGGCTTTTCTACTCCGTTTCTGCCAGTGCGGCTGGTTTTGTCTCTAGGCTCCATAGATAAGTGACACCATGCAGTATTTGTCTTTCTCTGTTTGGCTTATTTCACTTTCTCTTATGCCCTCAAGACCCATCCATGTTGTCACAAATTAACCCTCTCTTAAGGGACATCAGCAACAGGAATCATAGTGCTATTCCTTTAAGCAGCCTCACAGGCAATGGACATTAACCAGGGTAATGGGGGGAGGGCGGTGCCAGTACAGAGGACGCTGTGGGTTTTCTGTGGCTCACGGACTGGTTTGAGCCCGCAGTGCAGACAGTCCTTTGGGGAATGCTGTGAACCACTAGGATGCACCATGAAGGGAGCCAAGGAGCAAGGTGAGGCCCCACAACACAAGGAGGTGAAGACTTAGAATTATTACCGTTTAGGTAGTGAACTTTTTTGTGACTTAATTAATACTCAAAGGTTATTGAAGCCCACATTATACTACTTATACACATGACAAGTGATTGGGAAACACTTCCTGCCACGTAGCAAGGATTCGAGGGGTAGTTTAGAACTGGAAAAAGACCTCTCCACCAGTAAGTGCATAACTGAATAGAACAGTAGACTGATCTTTCTTCTTCTTCTCTCTCTTCTTTCTTCTCTCTCTCTCTCAAATCAATAAGTTAAAAAAAATTTAACCTAGGTATTGAGTTCTATTGTCTTTGGTTTCATTTGCTTTTGTGTGAGGTCTTTCTAAGGTATAACAGCTGCTAGGTCATCTATTTTCCTTCTAGTTGAAATGGAAGGGATACTTGCCATTTTAGAAATCAATGAACGGGGAGGAAAAAAGACAAGTAACTGCTTTGCTGAAGACCTTTTTCCTTGTGCTATCAAACACTGTTCCATATTATTAAGGGTTAGTCAATAATATGATTCTTGCTATACCTCGATAATCCCCCAAAAGATTTATTTATATTGGCACAATGTACCTACCTCAAAACTTTTAAAACCGAGGCTTTGATACAGCTATTACCTGTTTATATTTACTCCAGATGTTTAAAGTTGGTGAGGAAAGAAGTCCAGGGCATCCATCCGTCCCCATTACATGTCAGAGACCAAGGCTGCAGTGGCTTTTCATTCTGGCTCCAGTGCTAAAACCTGCTTCGGAAACAAAAAGAGTCAGGGGACCTCGGCCTTCCGTGCAGCCCTGAACCTCTCTCCAACCGTCACAGGACTGACACATATGTCATTCCCTGTCCTGCCAGCGGCGAAGGCCACCTCCACTCCTGGAAGCAATGCATAACACGATGTTTAGATGATCGTATGTCTTTCTTTTAAACCCCTACAGGTTGTTGGCTTCAGTGCAATTGCAAACAAGATACGCTTGGCCACAGAAACAAGCAGGACGCTCATTGAAATGATTCCTTATAGGTTGGTATTTTCACTTTCCAAGGCTACTTTGCCCTTTCTGTTACCTTCTCTCAGCCTCTGACCACACAGCTTGATTGATATTCTCCACTAGTAGTCTCTAGCCACCGCCACATTCGGGTCACTGCGTTCACATTCGCTTTAGAACATGGTTCGTGACAGGAGCAGGGCGAGGACAACCCGTTGTTTCTCTCGGGTCAGCCTCGGACTCTCTTCCTGGAGTTAAACCAGTCCCCTTACCCAAGTAAATAGTTGGATGCATGGAATACCAAAGAGACTCATGCATTTTTTTACTAATACATTATGGGCTTTCTCAACCTCCATAGCTATCTGATTAAGTCTCAAGGATGGGACAAGAGATGCCTCTATTTTCCTAGCCCTTCTCCTGGGGCTCAGTGCTCATGAGATGAGCATTCCTTCCGTCTTCAGCCACTTAGACTGAATCCACGTCCTTGAGCAACGTTATGGTATTACTCTGAGAAAGGCATAGAAACTTCTTATGGATTCGCAATTAATTTACAGTGTAATTCCTACCAGTGACATCACTCTTGCTTCTTTAGGAAATTATGTCTTTAACCTTGATCGGATGAATCACTTTAGCTAAGAAAAGCATTATTCTGCAGTTTCTTGACTCATAAGCAGGCTTTTGAAGAGCATTGGTGATTTCCTCATGCTGTTCAATAGGAATACTGCAGAGTCAGAGATGCCAGCTGGTCCCCAGGATAATGAAACAGGCAGCTTTGACACCACCAGATTGAATTAGCCTCATATCCTACCAGTTCTCAGTGAAATCTGACGATGGCTAAATCCATTTGAAATTCTGTTCAACTGAAAAAGAAAAAAACTGAACAGATTACCAAGGAATGAAATAGTAAATAAGGTTTGGTTTCTGCCTCAGAAAAAAATAACATGAACAATGGGATTGATACTTTACATAATTATTTTATTTTCTCCTCACATTAATTATAAGGTACATATTGCCTTATAATTATGGCGGAGGAAACTAAGGCTTACCAAGTTTAGATTACTTATCCAAGATCGCACAGCTTGTCAGTGGCAGAGCTACTAGTTGAATCCATTTCTATTTAATTCCAAAATCTATTATTGCAACCACTCTATTATACTCGCTCGATACTCTTTTGCTGTTAATGACATAAAAGCCACACAGTCAGCTTTTGCTTATATTTTATCATAAGATCCAAGGGTATAGACAGACAAGTGAGCATTCCAAAAATCTAATTTTAGGTATTGCTTTGAACTTCCTTTTTTATTATTTATTTATCCAAGGTTGATAGGGACTAGGAACAATTTCAGTTCCTTCAACACCCATGTCCCCTTTTAACCTAAACTGTTAACAAAAAATTGAATGTTACAGAGAACAGCAGAAAGGAAAAACAGTAGTTGGTGTGGTTAGCATACTAAATATTAAAGGTTTACTAACATAGATCTGGGCAATAAATTTAGTTTACTGTATATCTCTTTGGGACAGCCACATTCTTACCTAACTTCTTAAGAGGACAAAAGGGGGAAATATAACAAAATGTTAAATATTTGCATTTGAACATTTAGTTCTAGTCTTCTATAGATCATTACCTGGAAAACACTAAGGTGCTTTTAAATTATAAGTATGTTATAAATAGGGAATTAAAATAGACATAGTTGGATAATGAAGGAAAAGATATTCAAAAATAAGAATTTAGATTTATTCACATAATAATGGTGAGAAATGCAAATACAGGAAGAGGTATCCCTTTGAGGTACTAAAAGTGATACTACTTTAAGGCAAATGAAATTTAAAATGCATAAACTAATAAGAAATTATAATTAGATAAGGGATTAAAATGCATCATAAAATTTCTTTAAAAATAATAATCCCAAATGTATATTTTTTTCTTTATTGATTTTTAGAAAGAGAAGAAGGGACGGGGAGATATAAAAACATCAATGAGAGAGAAAGAACATCGATTGGCCGCCTCCTGCATGTCCCCCATTGGGGATCGGGCCCACAACCTGGGCATGTGCCCTGACCAGGAATCAAACCAGTGACCTCTTGGTGCATGGGTCAATGCTCAACCACTGAGCCACACCATCCGGGCCCAAGTGTATTTAGTACAGAGTTTATTTTACTGTTTTGGGATTTTACACAAAATTTCGGAAATAAACCAATTATTGAGTCATATATCTATGTCTTGATGAAATAATAAGACTGATCAGAAGAATAAACATTTTATTTTATTTTATTTATTTTATTTTTATCCTCACCCAAGGACATTCTTCCATTTTTTGTTCAGATAGAGTGGGAGGGAGAGAGAGGAACGGAGAGAGAGTGAAACATTGATGTGAAAGGGACACATTGAGTGGCTGCCACCTGTACGACCAACAAGGGCCAGGGACAAATCGCAACTGAGGCATGCGCCCCTAGCGCGAACCGAACCCAGGTCTCCCTGGACCGCAGGCCGACACTCCAACTGCTGAGCCAAACTGGCCAGGGCAAAAATAAACATTTTAAATATTTTAAATAGCAAACCTTATCTAAAACACTTAGGATTTTTTTTTTAACTGAGACCTTTTTTTTTATCCTCACCTGAGGACATTTTTTGCATTTATCTTCAGACAGGGGGGGAGGTAGAGAGGTGGGAAGAGAGAGAGAGAGAAACATCGATGTGAGAGAGACACATCGAGTGGTTGCCACCCACACAACTCCAACCGGGGCGGGGACAAACTGCAACCGAGGTACATGCCCCTAGCGGGAACCCAACCCGGGACTCTCTGGTCCGCAGGCCAACGCTCTAACCGCTGAGCCCAACCAGCCAGGGCGAGAACTTTTTTTTTAAATCTACAGATATGGAAACCATAGCATACCTGTGCTTCCAAATTTATTTTAAAGGATTATTCTACTATGGTTCAATGGAAAACCTGCCCCCCAAATTATGAAGATTTCTTTCCCTTTATTTAGTCAGTGGATATTGATTGATTTTTGAATGTTAACCAACATTACATTCTGGGATAAACCTCTCTTGGTCATGCTATATTATAATGTTATATATTGATTTGCTAAAATGATGTTAAAATGTTTTGCATTCTGTTTATGAGGGATATTAACTTAAGATTTCTTATAATATCTGTGTCTGGTTTTGGTATCAGTAATATTGACTTGGAATGTGTTCTCTTGTCTTCAATTTCTAGAGATGTTTCTGTAGAATTTACATTACTTCTTTCTTAAATGTTTGGTAGGGTTTATTAGTGAAGATATTCAGACCTAGAGTTTTCATTGTGGGAAGGTTCTTAACTACAAACTCAATTTTTAAATAGGATATTTACTAAATAAAATTTTTATCAAATTATATAATCATTGTTTATGATTCAGATTATCCTGAAACTACTTTATTAGTTTTAGTATTCAAAGAATATTTCCATTTCATCTAAGTTGTTAAATATATTTATAACAATATAAAAAGTTATTTATACTATTCTTTTGTTTTAATAACAGATCTATTGCACGATTTTAAAGTATACACTCCAGTGGATTTTAGTATATTTTCAAAGCTGTGCAACCATCACCACTCTAATTTTAAAATATTTTATCACCCCAAAAACTAGCCCTGTACCCATTAGCACACCCACTGCCCCTCTCCATAGCCCGTAGCTACCACTAATCTATTTCTATCTCTATGGTTTTGCCTATTCTGGATATTACACATAAATGGAATTATACAATATGTGGTGAGTTGACAGTCTTTTTCACTTAGCATGATTTTTTCAAGATTTATCTATGTAGTACCATGGATCATTCCTATTTATGGCCAAATAATATTCCATTATATGGATATACCACTTTGTTAATCCATTCATCAGCTGATTGACATTTCAGTTATTTCCAACTATTGGTAATAATGAATAGTACTATTGTAAACATTCATGTACAAGTTTTTTTTGAGCATCTGTTTTTATTTCTTTTGAGGATATACCTAGGAGTAGATTTGCTGGATTATATGGTAATTCTGTGTTTAACGTCTTGAGGAACTGCCAAACTATTTTTCATTGCGGCTGCACCATTTTAATTTCCACCAGCACAGGGTTCCAATTTCTCTATATCTTCACTCACACTTGTTACCAATTTCTCTATATCTTTACTAACACTTGTTATTATCTGTTTATTATTATTACCAGCCTCCTAGTAAATAAGAAGTGGTATATCACTCTGGCTTTTATATACATATACATATATATATATATATATATATATATATATATATATAAATTATTTATTTTTGTTACAGATATTTCTCCTTTTTTTCCCCATTGACACCCTTCTCCCCATCCCCTCCACCCCATCCCCAGCTTTGTTGTCTGTGTCCATCAGTTATGTATACATGCATATAAGTTATGTGGTTTATCTTCCCTTCCCCCCACCGCCTCTTCTGAGGGTTGTCAGTCTGTACCCTACTTTCATGACTCTGGGTCTACCCTGTTCCTCAGACTGTTTTGTTCATTATATTCCACAAATAAGTGAGATCATGTGATATTTGTCTTTCTCTGCTTGGCTTGTTTCACTTAGGATAATACTCTCCAGGCCCCTCCATGTTGTCTCAAAGGATAAGAGATCTTTCTTTCTTACAGCTGCATAGTATACTCCATTGTGTATATGTACCACAGCTTTTTTATCCATTTGTCTATTGATGGACACTTGGGCTGTTTCCAGATCTTAGCTACTGTAAATAGTGCTGCTATGAACATGGGGGTACATATATTCTTTCTGATTGGTGTTTCAGGCTTCTTAGGGTATATTCCTAGAAGTGGGATCACTGGGTCAAATGGCAATTCAATTTTTAATTTTTTGAGGTAACACCATAGTGTTTTTCATAATGGCTGCACCAGTCTGCATTCCCACCAGCAGTATAATAGAGTCCCCTTTTCTCCACACCCTTGGCAACACTTGTTGTTTGATGATTTGTTGATGGTGGTCATTCTGACAGGTGTGAGGTGATACCTCATTGTTGTTT